GGGGATTCTTGTTAAGGTTAAGAGATAATGTATATTAAAACCGTTTTGTCAGTGGTAAAACACTCTACAAATATTACGAAAGTTGTTTTTAATCTGCCTAAAACTCAGTGGCTCTAAGCTGCTTATAGGATCCTTACAGGATCAAAATAAGTCTTAGGAAATATTAAACTTGAGGCAGGGAATGCATGAGGAGAAATGAGCCTGGGAGAATCAATTAGGAGATTGCCTCAGTAATCGAGATGTCAGATGCTCATTATAAACCAGGATGTAAGGAGTGGAAATGGAGAAGACATTAAGGAACAATGTAGAATTTGGAGTAATAAAGCACCGAAGAGAACTTGAAGTTTCCTCATTGTAAGAATGGCAGTAAATGAGCAACAACAGAGAAAGTGTCTGATTTTATAGATATCGATATATTTATTAAAATTTGGATAATTCTAATACCTGATGATAGATGCCAATATATTGGTTGAGAAAATTCTGGTTTAGAGAATAAAAACCAACCTGCTTAGCCAACTGAATCCAATTATTTTGGAAGTAGATTGGTACAAGTGAGAAGAAAATAGAGTATTAGGTAGTGGCTTGTATGTGCTGGCTCTTGGCCTACATCATCTTGTTAAACCCCCACAACAACCCCAAAGCACAGATGCTACATCCATTTTTAGACGGGAAAAGGGAGTTCAGGAAGGTCAGACGGCTCCCTAAGTTCAGCGCCAGCAGAGAGTCGGGGGAGGGCGGGGGTTGCTCCAGGAAAGCACCCTCTACAGGTACCTCCAACGTGCTTCCTTGGCATTACCTGCCTGGAGTGTGAAGGTTCTGGACGTTCACTTTTATAGAGAGCCCCAACGGGAAGCTGCACAGAAAAAAAAATTCTCTCGTCATTTTCTGAAACTGATTTGCCTAGCAAATTAATAGAGAGAAGATAACCGTGATGTCCCAGATCGCTGCCCTGCCTCACTAGCCAAGTGATCTCGGGTAATTCCCTGACCCCAGAGACTGCAACCACAGAAGACACACGTTTCCACGATGGCCCTGTGAGCACACGCAGGCACTCGTACGTACGTGCCACTCTGTGTGACGTGCTCTGACATTCGTTATAACAGCCTCGTCTAGTCCTTTCGTTCTGCTGCTGGTTGGGACCTATGCAATTGATGTGGTTGGTAGTGACCTCACGGTTTTGAACACATTCCATTTCATTTGAATTAAAAAGAAAAAACACCGCTGGCACACTGCTTCTCTGGATAAAGAAGTAATTTTCCAAAGTGCTCCGTGGGCGGCTGCACTGTTTTCTAGTGGCTTAGGAGGTTCTGTACCACACTCTTTTCAAAGAAATCACTCAAATTAATGTATTAAAGGCTTTCGGTTCCTACAGTTAAGAAGCCTGTTTATTCCAAATTTAATATTTGGCCATGAAGTCCTATTCGTCACATGTGTAAGTAGGTAAGCGCTTGGGGGAATGCAGGGAAAAAGTTCTGTGATCCCATTTTGAAAACTATAAAACTAGCAGCATTATTGTTATTACTGGCAGTCCATCATTATCTCAGAGCAAACATTTCAGACTCTAAGAGTTTCTTAGAATCTGAATGCAAGTGGATCATCTTGGTGCTAGAAAAAAAGGATTCAGTTGGTTCTATCCCATTTGCCTCTCCACCGACTACAGTGTACAAGATTCCTATGGGGTCTGAAACACTTGAGACATTTAATTTCAGGATCTTCCTGGCAGCTGAAAGGTTTGGAAATTATTATGCTTAAAAGGAACATATGTCACATAAGCAAAATATCGTGGTTTTGAAAGAAATACCATTTGTGTCCCTTCTGTTGGCAAATATTCCTCAGTGCTGAGAATGCAAACTGTCACGTTGCATGAAAATCTGAACTGCCAAAATAAAAGCCAAACATGACCTGGCAAAAAAGCATAATTTTTAAAAATTAAGTTAATTAAGTAGGTAATTGAGCAAATAAATTCTGCAGTCAGATAAAGAGCATTTCTGATGCATAATCTGCTCCAGATGCTCAGGAAGAAGCCTTGTTTGCTGAATCTCAGATACTCAAGAACCACATTGTAGGGGGCTGGCCCCCTGGCGTAGTGGTTAAGAGCCCACACTCTGCTGCTGGTGGCCCAGGTTCGGATCCCAGGCGCACACCGATGCACCACTTGTCAGGCCACACTGTGGTGGCGTCCCATATAAATTGGAGGAAGATGGGCACAGATGTTAGCCCAGGGCCAGTCTTCCTCAGCAAAAAGAGGAGGATTGGCATGGATGTTAGCTCAGGGCTGATCTTTCTCACAAAAAAAATGAAAAAAAAAAAAAGAACCACATTGTAGCTAATTGCAAATCCACTCTGTGCTCAGCTACCAGAGCCGTAAGTTCGTGGCCCACAGTGGCTCCCGTTATCCTCAGGATACAGGGTGTCGTACCACACCCTCCTAGGACAACCTCTGCTTACCTCTCTGTCTTCATCTCTTACCACTCCTTCTCTTCCACTTGATGCTGCAGCAACACTGACCCGCTCGGAGCTCCTTGCGCGTCCCATACCTGTGCTAACTCACGGAATGCCTGCCTCCCACTCTTACGTAGCACCTGACGGCGCTCATCTCTGGTTTAACCTACTTCAGGGAACTTTCCTAGATGCTTTTGATCCCATCTCTGTGGATATCGCTCTCATTTTCTATGTTCCCATAAATCAGGATCCTTTTTTTAATCACTGAACTTAGTACGTTGTTTGACTCATCTGCTTGTGGTGCCTCCTTCTCCCCAGATTATGAGTTTCCTTGAGGATGAGAAATATGTCTGGTCTATCTTTGGGTCTCCTGTAGTTAACAGCACATGATAGATGCTTAATAAATGTTTGAATGAAAGATCCAGCAAGCTCCAGGATGCTATATTGGCTCCAGTTATGTGCTAGATGGTGCCAAAGCCATTTTTGATCCTTAGATATTCATTAACACTGAAGTGTTGAGTACCAAGCAAGGAGCCATGGATAAAAGATGTAACTAAGATAGCATACTGCCTTTTTGGAGTTAACATACTTAAGAATATCTAACATGCTGTCATAGGTGCTATGCTAGAAGTATTATCAAATACTTTGAAATTCAGATGAGTGAGATAGAATAATGCTGCCTGACAGAATTAAGGTCCTACATGACAATTGATAATCTAATTTAATTGATTGGCAATAAAATACCAATTTTAAATGGCTTTGAAGTCAGATGAACCTGGCTTTGAATACCAGTTTATCAATATGATCTTGAGTAAGTTATTAACTTCTCTGAGCTTAGTGTTCTGATCTGTAAAAGGGATAAAAATCATTCCTACCTCCTAGGATTGCCATGAGTATTAATGAGATAATATACGCTTAGTACAATGCCTGGTACGTAATAAGCACTCAATGACTAGTAACTGTTATTTTAATGGTATAACCCAGACCTTGAAGGATACATTGTAATGAGCAAATCTGGAAAGGGGTGTGGGTGAGGTGAGTGTGGAAAGTAGAGTGGGGTCAGCATTAATAAAAGTATGGATGCTGGAAAACACATGGTTTGTTCAGGAGGAAGTGACAACAAATGAAGTTGGAATTCAATTCAATTATCTGGCAACCAAAACATTGCCGTTTAAAGGATGCCTGACATAGCCTGATGGAAATGATGTTAGATTTTAAGAGTAAGGAGACTCATCTCCTCGTTCAAGACCTACTATTGTATAACTCCACCATTTAGCCCCACTGAGACTCAGTTTCTTCATCTATAATAAAAGGATATTGATGGCTGCCCCTTCCACCTTCTGTACCATGGCAAATATTACTAATAAATTTCTCTTCTCTCTTTTTTTTTTTTGTGAGGAAGATCAGCCCTGTGCTAACATCTGCCAATCCTCCTCTTTTTTTTTTTGCTGAGTCAGACTGCTCTTGGGCTAACATCCGTGACCATATTCCTCCACTTTATATGGGACGCCGCCACAGCATGGCTTGCCAAGCAGTGCATCAGTGCGCGCCCAGGATCCGAACCGGCAAACCCTGGGCCACCGCAGCGGAGCACGTGCACTTAACCGCTTGCGCCACTGGGCCGGCCCCCATAAATTTCTCTTTTCCATCAAGCTAGGATGGAGCCTTAATATTCTCAACAGTTTTCCAAGCAAGTATTTCCAAACAACTAAAAATAGCTTAGCTAAAACCCATTTGCCATATCTGGACTAGATGTGATACCAAACCTCTTAATCTCAAATTTGTGTGCCTGATGCACAGTAAGCCGATCACTGAGACACCAGTGCTTGGAGGTGGAGAAAGCTTTATTTGAATTGGCCAAAATGAGAAGGCGAGAGGGAGGATAGGTTCTCTCAAATCTGCCTTAACAAGAGAAGAAAGCAGGCTGTTTTATAGAGGTGAGGGGCTTGGCAGGAGGAGTTTCAGAGAAACAAAGGGTAAGTCTGTATTTCTTTCACTCCAGATAAGCCCTTGGGCAACCAGACTTCTGGGCAGCAATGGCAGCTGGGAGCTGGTTATCTGGTGATTGTAACTTCCTTGAAGGCATTCTTTTTCTTCTGCAAAACAAGCTCATAAATCCTTGTGACCCTTGAGTCACCCCTCAGGTTAAACAAGAAAACAGCAAATTGACAGATTAACTTCTTTTCATCTATGTCTGTGCTGGGAACAAGATCGAAAGGTAATCATGTTATTATTGAATATTTACTGTAACCCTCAGGTACCCATCTTCAGGTGGTTGTTAATGTTCTTTTCTTCAGCTCTGCTAAATAATTCTATGTTTTTTAGGTAATTGAAAATTTTTATGTTGTACTAGAATGTCTGTATTGACATTGGATTTTTTTATTGCTTTAGAGATTAATGCTCACGTCTAAATCATGTATAGACCTTATGTTAAGGTCTAAGGTAATAATAATAAATATGCATTTATCATAAAGTTACCATAAATTCAATTAATGTTGTGAAGGCTGTTCATGCATGTTCAAAATTTAACCTAATTGGGGGGTTTCATTTAATTTCAGATCTAAAAATTCATCTCCAGACCACTGATTATGGCAACTTCTTGGCTAATCAAATGAGTCCTCTTACTGTTTCCAAAATTGACACTGAGATGAGAAAAAAGTTATGTGGAGAATTTGAGTATTTCCGGATTCATTCCCTGGAGCCCCTGAGCACGTTTTTTACCTACATGACGTAAGTGACGGCAGGAAGCCGGATTAATCCCCATGTGATTGCACAATGACCCCAGCAGTTACAGGCGGGGTGTGGGGCTGGTATGAGGTGGGTGGACGCTTAAGACCTTTTCTATTGTTTGTGAGTTTGAATACATTCAGATCTTAGCAACTGATATGCTCACAGAGCCGCCATGTCACTGTTAGAAAGTAGATTTCACTTATTTATAAACATGATCATGTAGGTGGCAGTGGCCTCTGTATAAAACGGTAATTTCAGTTTCATCTAAAAAAGTAAGTGGTGCTGAGGCTCAAAGTTGGGACTAGCTGTTGGGACTAAAGGTAAATATTACGTGACAGTTTTGGATCACGTGTCGGGGTGGGGTTGAAACATCACAAATTGTTCTTAAAGCCACATCTACCCTTTCCTCATTCCCCTGGTAACAGGATAAGTAGCTCCCATCGTAGTTATATGTGCTTTGTTTTTACCCTTCTCGATCATCAGTGATTCTAATGTTTCAGTGTGAAGGCTCCTCATTCTAAAAAACGTTTGAACTTCCACGTAATAGTAAATTGTACTTCTATTAATCTAGTTAATAAATTATATCCAGTGCTCAAAACTTTGCTCATTTCCAGTTGTCCTAGATGGCAAGCTGGGAACTAACGTCTGCCATAGATGAACTGTTTATTATGTGTATACAATTTAGATGTAATATACAAAGCTATGAATAGTAGATCCAGGCCCTAGACTGATTCGGGAAGGTATAAAATAAAAATATTTCTCTATTCCACATGTCCTCTTCTTCCCTACTCAGTTTCTCTCCCCAAAAGTAACCACTTCTCAGTTTCTTATATATTTTTCTAGAAAAATATTTACATTTATGTGTACTGATACACATTCAACCCACCCCACCCCCACATTTTAAATTGATACAAATGGAATCATATTCCTTCCACACTTTTTTTGCACTTAATATTTCTTAGAAATATCCTGTCAGCATTGTTCTTTTTTAATAACTGCCTAGAATTCCGTGTTTGGTATGTACTGTGACTCAATTTACCAGGCATCTATTAACAAATAACTAGATTTTTTTTTCCATTATGAAAAGTTTTGCAACTAGCTTATTACTGTGTAGGTCTTGAATTTATTTCTAAGCTAAATTTCTAGCAGTGTAAGTAGTGAATCAAAGAAATACCCTTTTTTGTAAATTTTGCTAAGTTGTTCTCAACAAAAGTAGCACCAATTTGCACCCCCAAAGCAGTGCATAAGACTTGTGTCCTTCACAGTTATCAACATTGGATATTATCTTTTTAACTTTTTACCCATCCAATAGGTTAAAAAGTTGTATCCCTTTGCTTTAATTTATATTTCTTTATTAGCAAAATTGAACATGATTTCACATTTATTAGTCATGTGTATTTGCTACCTGAGACCAAATACTTTGTCTATTTTTTTATTGGAATATTCAGCTTTTTATGTTGATAAGTAAGGGCTCTTTGTAAATTAAGAAAGTTAGCCTTTCATAATATATGTTGCAAACTTATTTTCTCAGTTTGATATAATTTAATTTTTATAGTTTTTGTTTTTTTGCTGTAGAAATATTGAAAATGTTTAATTAGCTATAATCATCAGTCTTTTCACTCATTAACTTCTGACTGTTGTACCCTGCTTAGGAAGGCCTTCTCCACTCCAAATTCATAAATAAATTCACCTGTCTTTTCTTCCATTCGTTGTTGATGTTTCATTTTTTACATTTAAAACTTTGGTTCATCTAGAATTGATTTTGGTGTGAGGAATGGGACTAGGGATCCAGCTTAGACTGTTTTTCTCTAATAGCTATGCAGTTGTTCCTGTACCATTTCTATAAATAAGTGAGTAGAAAAGAAATGACCATCGTTCGAGGCAAGAAGTGATCCTTGACATACCTGAGACATGCGATTGGTGCCTCTGCTCCTCGTTGGTGCCATCAGCCCTCCCATCAACACTGCGGGTTAGGAATTTATTTGTAGGAAAGACACAGGTGCCGACTTTTTTTAAGAATCCACAAATACACAGCTCGTCAAGGATGAAGATTAGACATGAACTTGGGTCTGACCGAGTCCGAAGCCCAAGCACTTTCTTTGAGAAGGACCCTGGAAAGCCTTCCCAGAAGGGCTGACGCTGTTGCCGAGCCTGGAAATGGGCTAGGATTTGGAGATGCGGGAGAAGACGTCTGGAGTTGAAGCATGTAGACGGGAAGATGGCCATGCGTGATGAATGACAAGTCGATTTTGGCTGGAGTGCAAGAGGCGAAGAGGGGAACGGGGACGGGAGACTAGAGAAGTACATTCCAGCCAGATCCTGGACAGTCTTCAATGGCAGGCTAATGAAGTTGGGCTTTATCACATCAGAGAGTATTTTTCAAGTGTGTGTGTGTGTGTGTGTGTGTGTGTGTTGTTGGTATCTGCAAGATCCTTCCTTAAAAATAAAAATCTTGGGCCGCCCCGTGGCTTAGCGGTTAACTGCATGTGCTCTGCTACTGGCGGCCCGGGGTTCGGATCCTGGGCGCGCACTGACGCACCGCTTCTCCGGCCATGCTGAGACCACGTCCCACATACAGCAACTAGAAGGATGTGCAACTATGACATACAGCTATCTACTGGGGCTTTGTGGAAGAAAAAAAGGAGGAGGATTGGCAATAGATGTTAGCTCAGAGCCAGTCTTCCTTAGCAAAAAGAGGAGGATTGGCATGGATGTTAGCTCAAGGCTGATTTCCCTCACCAAAATAAATAAATAAATCAATAAATAAAAATAAAAATAAAAATCTTAAGCAGAAACCCAAAATGTAAAAGACAAAAAAGAAGAGACCAGGTTTGCTCACAGGACTCTTGTCTCCCCATGATGGTTGGGGTGGAGTAGAAAATGCTCAGGTTTTGAACTGGGTCAGATCCAAGTTCATATCTAATTCTCAGTGGCTGCCTGTGAGGGGCTTTGTAAGCAGGGCTGCCTCCGGTGGACATGTCTGGCGTGAGTGATTGTGGAGACATTAGAGACTCCTGAACTGCAAGACAAGATGGCCCTAGTTGTGTGGACGTTAAAATGACAATCAAAATACTAGACAGTATTTACAGAATATTACTGTAAGCCAGGGCTCTGCTAAGCACTCTACAAATGTTGTCTTGGTTAACCCTCCTGACAAGTCTTACTCAGTTCTTATCATCACCATTTTAAGGATGAGAAAACTAAAACTTAAGTGCAGTAACTTGTCTGGGCCACAGATCCAACAAGTGGACAAGTCATGATTTGAAATGAATGTTAGCATTAGGCTCTGTAAAATTATTTTGCTCAGATTTTAGATGAATTCAGAAAATCTGACCCGTGATGATGACAGAGGATAGTCTAATTTTAACTGAGTCAGAAAGCTGCCAGGTTTTGTACTTTTTGGGTTGAGAAACACGTCTCACATGATGGAAATTTGGCCAAAATATATTGGGAATTGCTCTAGCTCTAAGAATGTGAATCATTTGGTCAAGTTTCCTCTTACATAATTATTCCCCAATGTATTGTTTCCTAATTATAGAATCTTTTTTTTTTTTTTGTGAGAAAGATCAGCCCTGAGCTAACATCTGCCAATCCTCCTCTTTTTTTTTTTGCTGAGGAAGATTGGCCCTGGGCTAACATCCCTGCCCATCTTCCTCCACTTTATATGGGACGCCACTACAGCATGGCTTTACAAGCAGTGTATCGGTACGTGCCCAGGGTCCAAACCGGCGAACCCCGTGCCGCCGCAGCAGAGCACGTGCACTTAACCACTTGCGCCACCCGGCCGGCCCCCTAATTATAGAATCTTAAACCTGGAAGGAACCTTAGTATGAATTAAGCAAGCATCCTTATGTCACAACAAGCTACCATGTAGATCTAGTTAAAATATATTCTCTCTAAAAAAAGTTACTTAAAATTCCGGATATTACTAGTCATTAGTGATGTTTAAAAGCTGTGTGTATAAGAGTACAGGCAGTCACAAAGCCCTGGGTAGAATGTTAATGCAGAATTGGAAGTGGAAAGGTAGTTTTGGTGGTATTAGTGTTGTTAGTAGTGTTAGTAAAAGATGAGCATCTTTTAATTTATCTACTCTCTCTCAGCTGTAAACTCTTTGAATTAGTTCTTTTAGTATCGCTCTCTGGACTCACTGGTACATAATGGGCACAGAATATTTGTTGAATCAATATATAATCCTATATTTAAGAGTACCTTACACAGAGCTGGAAAAATACTTTCAGATAACTCAAGATTCTATATTTTATATAACACCTGAATGTTGGTTATTTATTGGCCAATATGTTAGGGATAAAAACCAGATGTGATGCCTGCAGATACGTTTTGTGTGACCAGGTCAGTGTTTAAAATAATTTTCTAGGGGCTGGCCCGGTGGCGCAAGTGGTTAAGTGCACGCACTCCGCTGTGGCGACCCGGGGTTCACTGGTTTGGAACCCTGGGTGCGCACTGACGCACCGCTTGTCAAGCCACGCTGTGGCGGCGTCCCATATAAAATGGAGGAAGATGGGCACGGATGTTAGCCCAGGGCCAGTCTTCCTCGGCAAAAAAAGAGGAGGATTGGCAGATGTTAGCTCAGGACTGATCTTCCTCACAAAAAAATAAATAAATAAATAATTTTCTAAAATATGTTCAGTCAAGGCTTGCATTCTCCAATTAGCCACAGTCTCCAACACTCCATGTTGTCTTACAATCTTCAGGTATTTAGTTTACTTATCAGACCTCTGAAAATATTTACTCTGACCTAGATGTTTAATGTACATCTCTACACAAGAACTCTGCAAAGAAGATGTTTATATCTCCATTTTTCAAATTAGAGATACTGAGGGTCAATGAATTAATGAATTTTCTAAAGTCACAATATCATTAAGGGATTTGGGAGGGATTTGATTCCAAGCCCATCCGTCTAGAAAGCTAATGATTTTGCACTGCCCCAGTAGTTTAATAAAAGGCAAGTAAATCAGAAATATCTGTGGGCCTTTAAAAAA